CATCTCCCGGGTACAATTCAAAAACTTGAGGTGTTCTAGATATGTACCCGGGGTACTATATTCAGTGCTCTACGGTACTCGGTAATCAAGCCTCTCAACACGATTACGGCATCAGGACTAACAAAGTATTTCTAACGACTAATATTTTGCTAATCACCCATTTGACTAAACTGCATGCATTTGGGAAATATTCTTGTCAGAAACATGCAATCTGGTAAACTTTGAGGAGTTTTTTTTTTTTTTTTAATTTCTATTTAATAAGAGATATTGTAGTGCTAACATTATGTATATATATTTGTTTATTTATTTTCCCTAATTTTGTATATCACTGTCACTGTCTTTTGATATACTCTCACCATGTTTATCTTCAAAAGATGACAAAAGTCAAGTTTATTATATTTGTTTGTTGTCTTCTCAGTAAGTTACGTAAGTATAAGAGCACTTTGTCGAAATTGTTCGTCAAAAGTAAAAGCAAATGCTATCACTTTTTTAATTGATTTGTTATTATGAATGAATAATTTCTAAATCACTTGCATAATCTCTTCATAAAACTGCTCTTAGACATTTGGAGTAGACATTCTGAGTTAGTATTAGTATGGAAACAGCCCAGTTAACAGAATCGAGATATTATAATAATAAAAACAGACTCTGTCAAAAGTTGAAATTGAATAATGGCACATAGTAATAGAGCATGTTCCAATTATTTTTGACACTTGTAAATTGTCAATGTTTGATTATTGTCTTAACTTTATAGGCACAAGAGCAACTTTCCGTTGTTTTAAATATGAGGAAAATGGTAGTTGATGCAAAATATTAATTTTTTATGTTTCATTAATATTAATATTTAGAATAATATTTTAATTTTAAAAATTTAGCAACACAAGTCATACATTGATGCAAGCCATAATCAGACTTTTTATAAAAATTTCATATTCCAGAATTAAGTAATAACTTATTTTTGCAACATTTTAACAATTTAGAGCCGTGAATTAATCTTTTTATTGTACGATGCTCCAAGACTTGCATAAAGTTAAATCTTTTATTGCAAGTAGAATTTGTTATTGTAACCAACATTAATTAACTTGTGAAAATTGCATTTCATAAGAACCGCCATTATTTTTTCCCGAGACTTGTAAAGGCAAAGATATGGGATGTTAGAACGTAAAGTACTACTATTCCTAACGCTGTTTAATGTTGATAGGTTATGAATACGTTGTACGCCGCTTTATTTTGGTTCTGCAAAGGTCATAAGACGTCAACAAAGTCTAAAATATACAATGTCATTAGACGTAATATTATTACCCCCGCAATGTACGATCAGCTATCGCTCTCAGCCTCTTGACTTTTAAGTATGCAACTAATTCCGCTGACTGTGCTTATTTTAGCAATCATCCTTTTTCGCGTTTAAGCGAGATGCTGTGGGCTCATACCAACTTCAATCATTTAATGTTGTAGCGTACGGTCATAGCCAAGGTTCAACAAAATAATTGATGTCAATGGTGTCAGGGTAATAATGGTTTACCCGGTTGAGAGAGTTAGTAATCGTAATTCACAGCGACGATCTGTCACACCTTATATTCTGTCGTGTTTACTTAAAATTTTTTATATCGATATAATTAGATCTTCCAAGTACAAAAAAGATCGACTGCGGATTGATCTGGTAAGGCAAATAAATTCTCCTCTTCCCACTGCTTTGAAAATTTTCCTTCAAGCGAAAATGACCTTATTTTTGAGATCCAAATTCCCTAATATAATACGTCAAGGAATTGTAAGTGGATCTCTACCGCGGAGGTATGAAGCGACTGCGTGTAGTCGGACAGCGACATGTAATTACGAATTAAATCGATTACTTTTTTCGCTACTAGGTTTTTCTCACATTCGTCGGTGGCCAGAAGTGCAGTAGCTTTTCCCTCGTTGCATAGCCTAAGTGATGAGGAGCAAATGCTTCGTGATTCAGGTACTCCAATCAACATGCTCGTGATAGAAGGCTTTATTGATAAATTGAAGATCGGCTAATCTTTCATATGTATATCTGTTTACAGTCGCCAACTTTGCCAAGCAAAAGATATTGCCAAAAGTTCAAGAGATGGATGAGAAAGAAAAGCTCGATCCAGAGATTCTCAAAGGACTGTTTGAACAGGGTGTACGTTCAACTCTTTACGATTGAATTGTATTACGTGCATGATCGCTGATCAAAGGGTTTATTGTAGATTATGGGAGTAGAGACCGAAACCGAGTACGGTGGTGCAGGAAGTTCATTCTTGTCCGCGATCCTGGCGGTTGAAGGTAAGCACGTTTATGTATATTGTATATTATGAAGCATTATGGCGTTAAACGTCGAGTGGTTTTGTAGAATTGGCGAAAGTTGATCCTTCTATAAGTGTTATTTGTGACGTTCAGGTGCGTGCAACAGACAATATCCATTATTGTACTTGAATGCCTATTCTCATTCTAATAAGCTAATGATGTCTGCAGAATACGCTTGTAAACACTCTCTTTCGCAAATATGGTAGCGAGCTCCTTAAGGAAAAGTATCTGCCACAGCTTGCTAGTGATAAGGTACTTATATTACTACATCTGTAAATGTTTGTTATTGCGAATACCTGCAACAAGGGGCTTATCGTCATTTAATTATTTTTATTATAAAGGTCGGTTGCTTCTGCCTCTCTGAGGCTCAGGCAGGGAGTGATGCCTTTGCACTCACAACCCGTGCGGACAAGAAAGACGGTCATTATTTATTGAACGGATCCAAGATGTGGATCACTAATTCATTCGAAGCAGACATTTTCTTGGTATTCGCTAATATAGGTACGACAAACGGCAGGATTTTGTTTATTGTAAATAGTATGTTTCGTTGTATTTATGTACGCATTCCATCTTTCAGACTTGTCAGCAGGTTATAAGGGTATTACTTGCTTTGTCGTTGAGAAAGATTGGGGCGTGTCTATTGCTAAGAAAGAAACCAAGGTACAATGAAGAGTATTTGCTACATGCACGGATCGAAACTCTAATATGGTATTTTGAGCTAATGTCATCGATGTCTGATAGCTTGGAATTCGAGCCTCGTCGACTTGCACGGTAAACTTTGACAACGTCAAGGTAAGGATATAACACTCAGTCATTTTAAGCCCCATTTTAGGAGTGGAAAGGAGCAGAGCTCCCTCCCTCCTGATTGACATGTTACACCTGATTGATTTCCCTGATGCCTAGGTTCCCGAGGAGAACGTTCTCGGTGTGGTCGGAAAAGGTAAATGAGGTTGGTAATGAGGATACGGCTTATCGTAATAACCGAATGTCTCTAAAAGTAATTTTGATGGATAGGATACAAGTACGCCATAGAAATATTGAACGAAGGTCGTATTGGAATTGCAGCACAAATGATTGGTTTAGCGCAAGGGGTGTTTGATCATGCTTTGCCCTACACGTATCAAAGAAAAGCTTTCGGGCAGCTAGTAGGTGATTTTCAGGTGAGCCGTTTGTAAAATTAATAATAGAGACGCTTGAGTGAACGTTTTAACACTTGACACATACTAAAAGTTGATAATTGTTTATTGATAGGGAATGCAACACCAATTTGCACAAGGTACTTGAGAAATTTACATTTGTTTAATATTATCAACTCGAATTTATTTGTATACATATTACAAACGCGTAGTTGCTACTGAGATCGAAGCCGCGAGACTTTTAACGTACAACGCAGCCAGGTTAAAAGAAGAAGGCAAAAATTTTGTCAAAGAAGCTGCTATGGCAAAATTGTTTTCGTCTCAGGTTGCCGAAAAGGTAAGAATCAGAGTTGGAAGAGTAAGTTTGTCGATTTCATACAAATCAATAATACAAATCTCAACGCGTGTGCTGTACGTCAGGCTGCGTCCAAAGCCGTCGAGTGGATGGGAGGAGTTGGATTTACGAGAGAATTCCCAGGTAATTGACAACGTTTGATAATGGAAACGTTTTAGACTACTGATTAACGAAATGTTTTTCCCAATTTAGTTGAGAAGTACTATCGAGATGCTAAGATTGGTGAGTATGAGCGACTGCGTTCTCCTGACAAGCGCTCTCTTGTCATTCTTGTATTAACCCCACGATCAAACCTTTTACAGGTGCCATCTACGAAGGAACAAGCAACATTCAATTGTCAACAATAGCTAAAATTTTGGCTCTAGACTATAAATAAAGAACAATAAAGCATGACGCATTATCTAATTTTACATAAATTAAACTTCAACTGCGGCTCCGATGACATTAAACGCGCCTGTTTGATACGCTAAGGCGGTATCATTTATTTGTACGTTTATATTCTGGCAGGTAGTATGGGGGACCCCTGTAATTCCTGTCAAATTTCCATGACTACGGCCACGTTCGCTTTAAGGGCGTCACCCCGTCGGTCCACTAAATTTGTTTATTGTTGTTGTTGTTGCTATTGAATTGTATTCTCTAGCGCTCTTTAAAGGTTATTTTTTCTTGATAAAATTTATAAGTAATTTTTTCTATAATCCAGACATTCCTGGTGTTATTTATTTTAAAAACAGGGCGCAATATTTTTACCCAACTCTTTTCTAAAAATGCTTCCAATAGTAATAACAATAATGCTATTATTTTTTGGTTTTATGACATATTATTTCATAAATTAATTTTTATATAAATATAATCCTATATTAAATGTGTAATAATTAATTAAACATTGTGTTTTTGAATTGCTAGTGGATTCTGTTCGGCTATTCAGATCAATTGTACCATTTTTTGTTGTTTCTTCAGGTGAATCGGATAACTTCTGTTCCAAAGCTATTAATTCCGCATCATGAAAAAATGTTAATAAATAATTCACCATATAATGTAAAATGAATTTGATTATATTACCTGTTCTTTATTGATTGCACCTACGAGTGAACGCTAAAGGTGCTCTTGATATATTACATCTATGTTATCCGCGGACTTTTCTTCCTCGCCCTCCATCCCATTCATTAGTTTTGCAACTTTGGATTGTTCTTCTAGTTCTTGTTTCTCCTGGGATTGTCTTTTTACCTGAATCAAAAATTGTAGAAAAGTCAATTATTAAAGTTTAAAAGTAGCTAAAACATGTCTGCATCACTAACTCTCTTAGACTCTGGATAATCTGAGGAATCCGAGAGAATTTAGGTTCTGGTTTTCATCATAATGGTACTTGTTTTTTCCGTTCTCTCAACTTTATCCTGGGAGGGGATTTCCTTTCTAACATAAACATAGTCATAATTATAAAAATTTTCATAGCTTAAATTCATCATAAGTAAAGGCTTGCAATTCTACCTCGAGCGGAACGGAATTATATATTATCCCATCATAAACAGTTCCATCATAATTCGTAAGTTTCGGCCTGAGGATATGTAACTCTCGCCAACCCATATTTTCGCTACTTTGTGATTGGGCCATGAATCCTTAAATAAAAAATTTGGCTAGAAAACACTTCGTTGGTCACGACCTTTATCAGCCAAACTAAGAGATTGCCTGTGCTAGATGAGTCCAGTGTCAGGTCGACCAAGAGACTTGAACAACAGACAAACTAAGAGATTGCCTGTCCTTAAACGCTGGTTTTGTGGCTCGACGAATGGTGAAGAAACTAAGAAATTCTCGTCACGCCACTTTTTTCCTGACATTTCCAACAAAAAAATACTTGCATTTTTATATCTATCGAGTAAATACTGTACTTTTCGCGTCGCTTTCCCTGATTACTTTTAACAATGTTATGAAGGCTTTTTAGATAATCATCTACTGACGCTTGGCACGGTTTTTCATTGCATTCTTTTAGAAACCCAACCGGCATGTTTTTTATTGAATATTTGTTAATCGCGTTATCAGACATTGTTATTATTATGGAGAGAGTTTTAGTTTTTGTTTACACGAGGGGATAGTTAAATATATTACTTTATTGGAATTTTTTTATAGTAAAGTTACTATATTTGACCAACTTATGGTTACACAATAGAATCACATGCCACAAGATTTCAGTGACGCCAAAATTTTTCCGAGAGGGAAAAGGAATAAATTATCTGATGGTTAGTGCTTTGGGCTTCTATTTTTTACTATTTTATGATAATTAATAGCTATTTTTCCTATATTATTAATGTTAAGCTGCATTCAATAAATCTCTCGCTAAAAGTATGTTGTATCTATTTGTATATATTGCGACTTGGTTTTTTTAAAACCATGTTGTACTTCAGTTGGAGATCTGTGACCAAGTGACCGAGTTTTTTTTGGTAAAAATAGCAAACAATACAGCCAAATTTTAACTGGCACGTGTATATATTTTTATAAATATAGTTTTTACTCGGCTACTTGCTTTTGAATAAATATACTAGACTTATTATTAACGTCTTATGCAAGCAACAATAAATAATGTCAATTAATATACAGCACTGTATATTTGCATGTCTATACAACATAATATTATGCATGAGCGATTGTTGTCGATGTCAGCGTAACTATTTATATGCGTAATTTACTATTTTTAAGCAGTGGAAATTTTTATTGTTCTGTTACACTAATACGTTATGTCTGAGTTCGTAATTAGCTTTATGGTTAACAAAATATTTTTACACTCCTTTGCTGCACAGCCACCGTTATTTATACTTATACGGTTAACGCCGAGATGTGTCATCTTCTCATCCAACACGCGACACGCGTCTACTCAGACACATATATATACCTAAAAAATTTTCCCTCCATCGCACTTTATCGCTCTTTCTCTCTTCTCTTCCAAAACGCCAATACAACACTATCTAAAGGCTAATATACCAAAAACAATCTTCTGTCATCGCTCCATATTACGCTTATACAAACGAACGAACGGGCAAGTTATTAGCAGCAAAACTCTTAACATTTAATGACGACCGTTTATCGACCACATAACCGATGAGAGAGTTCGAACTCATGTAAACATACGAACCGAACGAACAAGTCTCGTTAACGGCGCATCCTAACACTCACAACGACACGGTTTATCGACTAGAAAGTTCGAACAAAACGCAACTCTATTATATTACACGAACAAGTTATACTCTTAACACTCATAACGACCGTTTGTCGGCCACCCAAAGTTCGAACATAACGCGTACGCAAACGAACAAGTCGTTAACAGCGCTATTTCTAACTAACCCTCACAACAACACGGTTTATCGACTACGTGACCGGTGAAAAAGTTTGAACAAAAACGCAGCTCTATATCACGCAAACAAGTCATACTATTAACACTCATAACAACCGTTTGTCGGCCACACAGAGTTTGAACATAGCGCGTGCACAAACAAACGAACGACGACAATAATTTTAACGCTCAATAACGACCGTTTATCGATCACATAACCGAGAAAGCCCCGTATTACATATACGACACGAAACAAACAATTCATTAACGGCAAAACTTCTAACATTCGATAACGACCGTTTGTTAACCACGCAACAAATGGGAGAGTATACAGTCACAACTCGATATGACGCACATACGAACCGAACAAACAAGTCGAAACCTCAACGACCGTTTATTAACCACGTAACCGATGAGTTCAATTACAACTCCATCAATACGACGCAAACAAATCTTTAACGCGGCGGACATCCTAACATTCAATAACGGCAACTTTTATCAACCACACCTCCGATGAGGATGTTGTGTCCGGATGCTTTCGCCTCAACAATGTCAATTTATATGCAACGCGACGAGCTTTTTTACAACTCTCATACAAAGAAGTTTGAAAACGGTCGTTCATTATTGTAAGTACATCATTAACTATTCATATATCCGATGCCTTTTCAACAAACAGGTTATTATACCATTATTTACTTATCTGCAAATATTCTCTTTTTTTTTTTACAGCTTCGTCGATCGAAGCTATTGCACAATAAACTCGCTTCCTAGGCTGATCACTGTCTCTACCTGGCGGACGGGCTGCGGATCAAGAACGAATAGCGAGTAGTTACGGGTCTCGCCACTCTCCCTGTGACACCTGCGGTGATGTGATCCCGGCACGGGTCCTGAGGAAGTGAGTCACGGGGGATGCCCGGATCACACTCGGACATTTCCTTTCTTCTCTTTTTTTACTGCACACAGCTTTAGATGACGGGTAGAAGATTTTGGTAAGTATGAAGGTAAGTTCGCATTGTTTCACGCTATATCACTAACTCTATTTTCTTTTTTTTCTTTCTCCCCCCTTTTTCTTTCCCTTGGTGGGTTCGCGGGGTGATCGGATCCAATGGTACACGTGGAAGTGGAAACGAGCACCAGGGACCCATATGGTAACTACTTGCTATTAATTAATGATCTGTCCTCGAAGCTTGAGACGAAAAGCCAGCGAGAGCAATAGCTTTCGATTCTTTTTACGTAATTTTAATTTTAATTTAACTTTAATACAATAACAACAGAATTAGTATTCATATGTTATATAGTATTTGTAATATTTATTTCGAATATTTATTGTGGCAGATTAAACAAAATCGGATTAAAACGAAATGGGGGCCTTTTCGGAATGGGGTGTAATATTTAATCATGTGAACAACACCAACGTCATCGTACATGCGGTCACGTTACTGTAACCAATTAGTTGGTAAAGTCTTTAACTCATTGGTGATGACATTGCTGGATCACGTGTATGTATTTACAGAGATTATTTTACAGACCTCCCTAAAAAAAATATAAATGCAACTCGACGGGAGACATAGGAAAAAACTGATGAAACTTGCACTTAGAGAGGTATTGCACTTATGGAGGGTGAAATGCTTATATAGCTTATAAACTTGGGACTGAACCAGACTTTGCGCTTAGAGGGGTCAAACTTATCAATTGCACTAGGGAGGTCCCACTGTATATAGCTGGGACTGCAAAATCTATTGCACATGCAGAATATAGAGAATGTGCATTTAGCATTTAAGTCCCGAGGTTGGGACCATCAAATAGCGTGCATTTAGGGAGACTGTGCATTTAGGGAGAGTGCATTTAGGGAGAGTTCACTGTACAATGTTTAGATTGTCGATCAGAGGGTTTTGATTTCTCTTTTTTTTTTCCCCGTTCAGATGTTCTCCAGTCGTCTTTTACGAAACACAAGCCTTTTCACACATACAACCCGCCAAATACACACCCCACTTCCCGTAGCGTTTGAACCTCAAAAAGGATTAGGAAAATTATTTAGCCCCACGTCACTGACAAATTTCTATGAAAATCACATTCGATTAATAGAAAAATTGAACACGCTCGTTGCTGGTGCGTATCTATGAAGAGGAACTTGGCAAAAAATTTCAAGACACTGATGACATGTCGAATTAGGTACGGAGTATGAGGATGATACGTTACGCGGATTAATCCAGAAGACAGCACGACTTCCTGAGAAGGCTCAATTATTCAATTACGCATCACAAATATGGAATAACGACTTTTTCCTCCAATCTCTGGTAATGATCACTTTTCTCTCGTGATGATTTGTATATATCTTTTAAAACAAATATCTTTCTACAGTCCGACAGCTCAAGTTTGCAAAGAGATGCCGTACTTACCGATCGGTTAAAGAAAGAATTTGGATCACAAGAGAATTTCGACACTCAAGTAAGAAACAGGTTTTTAATCCTCCTAGTTAGAACAATGTGACAAAGAGTATCTAACAAGCGATTTAGTTCATTAATAGTGCATTGGCAATATTTGGTTCTGGATGGACCTGGTGAGAAACGAAAAGCATACAACGATTGTTGTCAGAACGGGTCACATCAAAAACGGGAGTCTTACCGGCTTATAATTTCTTTTAAAAAAAAAGGTTAGCAGAGACGGAATATCAAGTGCTACGAGTAGTCAATACTTATAACGCAGGTAAGACAATGTCACTTTCGTTTTCTCCATGCGTAATCTTTCATTTGACTTGATCATTTCTTTTAGGCACAGTTCTTGATACAACGCGGACTCAAGAGAACGATGTAAACACCAGCATTCCCAACCCTTCCGCAGGAATGCAGCTCCAATCGACCAAGTTGAATCCATTATTGTCCGTGTGTGTATGGGAACACGCGTACTTACATGACCATGGAATAGATGGGAGAGAAAATTACTTAAGGGCATTCTTACAACATGTAAACTGGGGAGTTGTTGAAAAGAGGATGGGGATCTTTGCCTGATAGTCGCTACCTAATAACGTAGATTTAATATAATTACAACAGAGAGGTATTGCACTTATGGAGGGTGAAATGCTTATATAGCTTATAAACTTGGGACTGAACCAGACTTTGCGCTTAGAGGGGTCAAACTTAGTAATTGCACTTAGGGAGGTTGCACTTAGGGAAGAAAGAATTTATTAATGACATTATGAGTTTTAATGACAACTTGTTATGACATTAGTTGCAGTGTGAAGAAAGGAAAATCATTCCGAGTTTTTCGTACATGTGTAACTTGCCCAATTTATTAAAAATGCAAATTGTAGCGTGTTTTTGTTGTTACCTGCTCGCGTTTGAGTTCATTTGCTCCGTCTCTTTTAAAATGTCACCATCATCTAAAGAAACTCAACGTCAAACGCTATTACATTTATGCAACGAAGGGATACGTGATGCTTCTGAATTACACTCCCGTACTCATATACCATTTAGTACAATATATTACAATATAAACGAGCTTGAGAAAAATGGGAGTGTCGACCATAAACGAGGCAATGGCAGACCAAGAAAGATTACTGCCAATGTGTCACGTGCAATCAGTCAGTATGTTCGTCGGGATTCTTCTATGTCTGGAAAATCAATTACTGCGAAATTGGCTGAGAATGGCGTGGAGCTTCATCGCACAACAATAACTAAGCCTTTGGCTAAAAAAGGTTATAAGAACAACCTACGAACGCCAATGCTTACATCAACTCAAAGAAAATTGTGTTGCATGGGCACGTCGTCACCTTAACGACAATTGGAAAAAGACGATCTTTACTGATGAAACTGCCTTCCAATTG